CAACTCTGTAGTGAGACCAACTCGGTAGACTCAAAACCACCAAAGCTTAATAGGTGATTCATCCTGTACAGAAGGCCACATGACTGACGACTCACTAACTTGTCTTTTATCTGCTTCGTAGCAAGACCCACCCGGGCAGACTTGCGCGATTCAGGTAAGAGTCATTCCCACACTCTGTTCGTGCTCAACTTTTTAGTGAGACTCACCCGGGCGGGCTCACATGACATTTGAAATACGAACCAAACAGCGCGTTCTCCATTGACAGTGCGTCATTCATTGCTATCATTCCGTTGAGTGTAAAATGTTTTTCTCTTTAATATGCAAACCGTAAAATATTTACTTTTTTTCTTTAATATAAAGACAATATAACAAACAGTTATTCTATTTTAATCAAGTGCTTCTTTTTCTTTTCATCAATGCGACAAAAACCCTTCTTATGTATTACAAAGTAAAATATTGTTATTATGTCGTAAAAAACTATATTCATATTTTCGTCCTTTGAACCGGATGTAAAGGATCTGTCCATCATCGTTTATTTATTGAGTAAATTCCAACTGCAAAAATATTACAGAAAATCAAAAATTTTCATTACCACTAAAGAGAGCTGTTCACTTCCAAGCCAATAGCTGTACGGAGATGAGAGTTCTAACAACGCATGCAATTTCTAAGCACATGCTTTAAAAATTGAAGTTAAACATTGATTCTTACAACTACATCGTTTTTTTCACCAACTATTCCAAACTTCCAATCATCCATTCAACATCGTATATTAAGTGGTGTTTCGGAGGATATATGAGAGGTAGGGGTGTGCGGCGTATACTCGTTCACTATTTGGTGAATTAAAGTATAACCTATAAAAATAGGACAAATACACACGTATACGATCTTATATCTCTAAGTTTTTTTTTAAATTAAGCAATCCGTATTCTGTATTATTATTTGTTGTTATCATTCGTGACCGACGACCGTGAATATTTCAGTTTTTCGATAAAAATATGTTCAACTTTCCAACATCACAGGCCGTATTTTTACCGATTAAAATTTGAGAAAAATTGAGCAGATTATACAAGACGTGAACGATGTACTTACAAAGATTTAAAAATATATGCAGTACTTACATGGAGAAATCTGTTAGACAAGGGCAGGGCTTGAGATCAAAATGAAAAGTTTTGATTTTTATTTCAATTTCACAAATTGATATTTATTTTTCTGTTTTACATTTAAAATAATACAATATTGATTTAATTGTATTATAATTTTTGATCAGATTTTGAACATAATTTTTTTTTTTTTATTTAAAATATCAATTTCACATTTTTACAACTTTAATCCTGATTTTTATAACTTTTAAAAACCTGTCATCGTTCCTGTGGCTGTGTTACAACCCTAAGAAAACGAAAGACTAGTTATTAATCATTAATTACATACTATGAAGAACAGTATAGATCTATCAGCTATTGTTGAATTTTATATTTAAATATTTTTTTTTTAATTTTAAATCGATTTGAACATTACTATAAAAAATATAAAACAATTATTATTTTGGTATAAATTTTTGATCTAAATTTTTTTTTTCGATTTCATTATAAATAATTTTGAATATTATTAAAAAAAAATATTTGATTTTGATATCACTTTTTATTTTTTTGATAATTTTTAAAGATTTTGATCGATACTTGAAATTGATTTCAAGGTCTGGTTGAGGGACAGTTGATACCAAAGAGACCCGGACACTCTTCTACATACGACAAATATAAATATGATCACGCCGCCTTTATGGACGTGTACACTGCAATTTTGTTATTAGCAGGTCCGTGATCACTCGCTCTCCTCGATCATAATTCAAAATACCAGCGTTGGAAAGTTTTCCAACTGCATTTTCAACTGCTAAACACAACTTTCCAAAGTTTTTTGACACAATTACAAAATGGCACCGATTCGACGAACTTTTAAGCTCCATCATGTTCCATATATCGTGTGGAGAAACTCATATTCCTGAGGACATCTCGCAATTACTTGGTCCACCTGATTTTTTGACAGTCGTCAACTATCCTAAATGTGATGTCCTAAATATAGGACAGAAAAAATGACCTTTCATTTAATAAGCGCATTCTATAAGCAGTTTCCAAATCTTCTTCTATGTATCTTAGGTTTTTAATTAAAAAACGTAAAAACTTTTCAAATCATGTTTTTTTTAAAACTTTATAGAATTCGCCCTAGTTCGTTCGAAACTAGAGCACAATTCGATAATATGGTCTATTTATAAAAAAAACTATATTCAATGTTTAGATACTGTCCAAAATCGTTTTTTCCGCTTTATGGCACTTAAATGTAACATAATTTGGGAGCATCAATCCCAATCAGCCATTATTAATAAGTATTTTAAATATTTCAAATTTATTACATAGAAAGAAATAAATTGACTTATCATTTGTATTTAAATTTTTAAAAGGTTATACTGTTTGCCCTGATTTACTGATCTATATTAATTTTAATGTCCGGCAATGTAAAATGGTTCATAATGTCTTTAAATCAAAAGATATTTTTTATTTATTTCCTCAAATAACCAAATATGCTTTATCTCCTCCCATAAATAGGATTATGGCATTAGCAAATGAAACAAACATTGAATTGTTCAATTTTCATTCCACTTGGCTCTTCAAAATGCATATAATATTATATTTTATAATAATATTGATTTAAATTATTTAACTTCGATTGTTACATACTTAGTTTTTAACAATTACTTTTGTATTAATTTTTATCTGCCTGTAATCTTACATAAAATTGTTTTAATTGGATCCCTTCGATCCGTAAACTATAATTATACATAATGGAACAAGAGGGATTTAGTTGGAGTCCAGAATAAATCTATAGAACCTCTTCTAACCTCACATACCATAAAGTAATCTAATGATGCTGGTTCAATTAATACATCAATCCACTCGATTCTAGAACGTACAGCAGCGTCGGATAACATCAACATCTAACAACCTGTTATGGGAGTCAACAAAACCCAATACTGGTCAATATCTTCAAAAAATATTTAAACTATTGCCTCCATGCTCGGTGGGAAATGATCCTCGGTGAGAGGAACCAACCAAGGGTAACTGAATTCCTTAATTTCAATTAAGTTTGGTCCTAAAGCTTGACCAGGATTCTATTGTTTGGTGGCCACAGGTCCAGCTAGTTAACTTAAAGTTTAATCCAACTTCACTATCATTTGATGGACACTTGTTGAAAACATCAACCACAAGTTATCCATTATGTTAACATACACATTCAATACGTAAGTGCTCCCTCTTCACAAACCAAATCCCGACCGTTTCCAAAAGACGAAGAAACTTCAACTATAGATCAACTACGAGCACAAGTATTGTTCAGCCACCAACATAGATGTTCATTGATGCTAAAAAACGTTCGTCCGAATTGTCTGCGCCAAAGCCGCTCCTGCTTTGGTGGCAACGACTTGCGGAGTGTTGGGGACGGTAAGAGGTTACCCAGCTGGGGGAAATACGTTTGGGCGCATTTACCCAAAACAAAACACTTTTGGGCGTAAATCCGTAACACATTTGGGCGTAATATTTCCCTTTAAAATAGTACGTTTGGGCGCATTTATTTCTTTGCATATATTAACATATTTTATTAAATCTACGCCTATTAGCGTTACCCAGAAGACACCGCGAGGAGGTTGGCTCAATAGTCTTCCAAAAATATATATTTTTTTTTTAAAACCTAATTTAATTTTTAATTTATCAATATTATTCTACACTATAAATTATTTTCTATCAATTAATAAATTTTTTTCCTCGCAAAACGTGGTCCTAAATTTTTAATGTAATTTAATATATTTTTTTCAACTTTATGTCTCCCAACATTTTTGTACAAGCTTTTGTTTCTTTTCTTAATTTATTAGTTATTTTTTTTCCAATGCTATTTACTTTTAAATTTGTCTCGGTTTGAATTTCGATCAATAAGTTAATAACATTTTGATAGTTAGGATGTTGTTTATAAAATTGCTGATTATAATTTGAATGGAAAGATTCTGGGCCATTAGTTGTTCTTGGGTATGTTTGTGGCTCTTCGGCCCAAATAAAAGGTGGAAATTGCGAATCTTCTGATATATAATTGTCAAGTATATAATCAGAAAAATCTGTTACATCTGGCGGCGCTATAGACATAAGCTCAACAAAACCACATTCAACCTCATCAAATGATAAAAAAAACTCAAGCCAAAAAAATTTTGAAGCCAAACACATGTCTCTGTTTTCTTGGTGTAATGTTTTAATAAAGATTTGCTATTTTGTATTTTACGAAACCAACTTTGGTGTAAGTGAAATCGGCAACCAATTATTCAACAATTGGGGAAAACATTTTTGGCTGATGTATGAGCTGATTTTTCAAAACCCAAGTGGATTTAAACTTTAATTTAACTTTAATTTAACTTCTAAACTTTGACCAAGAAGTTCTAGACATAAATCGTTAATTGTAGTCCAAAATGTTGAATAAATTTCAGTTGATTTTGACTTTAAAAATGCATAAACTACCGGCACATAAAATTCATTTTTCCAAACATGCACGTGTACATTTGTAAAAAAAATTTCTGTGCGTACGAAAATGTACCCAGCTATATATAAGGCCTAATACAGGTTTATATAATATGCACTTTCAATGGACGCAGTGCGCAATAAGTATATCTTACAATAAGACAATAATAAACATAATTATAAAACGCCCGGGTAATATACGCGCTACAATTACAATAATAGTAATATAAATTAATAATGAAAACTGCCAACATATGAGTTTGTTTACATAAATCAACTTAAATAATAAATAATAGACCTGGTCTGCAAGCTCCGGAGGACATTGAGGCGTTGGTTTCACGCTAGTAAGGCGACGCTGTCTTCTGCCATAACGACCAACACCGGTACACTGATACAATAATTTTTGCTCGGAAAAATAGGTCAAGCCCCGACTACCTCGGGACTTACAACAATTGGTACAAGACGGCACACGCTCACAACACACCGAATTTCGTGTTCACCCGAGGTTGTGGCGGCGGCGGGGATCGGACGACACGTTGTGCCTCGCTCGACAGCTGGAAAAAGACAACATAAACAACGAACGGACACTGGTGGCATAGCCTACGGCTGTTACGCCACGGCGAACATCCTGGTGCTGGACAACAGCGGAGGGGATACACCACCTCACCAGTATTATACTGCATCCTATGTGTCGCTGGAAGGAAGCATGACGAAACCTAACCGTCCGTGTCCGAACAGTATAATAGCGTAGATTTATAATAACTATGAACTACAGTGGATTGGGATGCGTTCCAAACTCTTGAGTTTAGGTTAATTGATAACTCAGTCGCGCAGTAGTATCAGTCGAGCAGTAGTATTACGATGGAATCGAAGTTTGTTTCTTCGTATAAATACAGCTCCAAGGCCCGGCCCAAGCGGTAGCTCACGGATCCAGCTCTGCAAGCCAAATAAGGAAATACTTTCTTGTGATTTTTCCGTCTAAAGGTGTAATTAAGTTCGCGTAGAGGTCGGTGTCGTTTTTGAGTCGACCCGATTAAAACTCCCACCGCGGGGACGGTTATTCGGTATCCATATTCCTAACACGGCCGCCGGATCTAGTTAGTTGTTACTATTTTAGGTAATATTTCTTCTCATCATACACGCACACGAACAAACTTCTCGGTGACAGTCACGCGTCTGCGCTTGCGTCAGAACACCAAAGGCCACACGTCTTTGTAGAGAATCTCTGAAGCGCACGGGAGAAAAGCAGTTACTTAGCGGACGTCCACTGCCACTACATACTGAAAGTCACCCTCCCTCGTTTTTTTCAGCTTGGCATATCTCAAGGATCACTAGTGTAAGGGATTCCGTTCTTTCACCAAGGGTTTCTGTTTTATTGCGCCAACCAGTCCCTCTCATAATCTAGGGGCCAAAAACCCTCTCCAAGGGATTTTGGAAACCTCTGGTCCGATCGCTCCGAAACTCGGCTAAGAGTAAGGGGCCCCCCAAGGTCCCAAACCACTAAATCTCATCGGTTTTGGTAGGGTCCAAGAAGAGGGTTAACCCCCCCCCCCCACCGGGGCGGCGGTCGGAAAAAATTGCAACCAAGTATGAACGACTACTATGTAACGACTGGAGATACCACACCCACGAATAGCCTCGGAAATTCCCAGCCTCAAAGAAAGGTCACCTTACAGTCAAAGCGGGAGGAGTATCCCAGACTGAGCGAGCTCGAAGCTGGCATGAACTACATGCGATCAGCCCTGGAATCGGCGGCCCAAGCCGCAAGGATGAACCTAGCCGAGAAGGAAACCCCTTATACTGGTAATCTACTATTATCTTTGATGAAGATCATGAACGGACTTATCAGAAAGAAGGGGAAGCTGTTCCCCCCCCCCCATGGCCTCCTCTTCCGAACGTATCTGTGAATGATGGGTTGTGCCAGCCCTTCGTGAAGCCAGTCATGGCTGACACGAGCACTGATACGACAATAACACCATGTTGGTAAGACAGTGACGCCACCACCGAGAAGAAGGCAGCTACTAGGGTGAGGAGTGCACGGAAAACCGGGGAGGTCGGAACCCAGCACGTCAGTAAAGTCCCAGATACTGAGATGGAATCCGCCATGGACACTGATGCTTTGAATTGGTCGAAGATTGCCAGGAAACCTCTTAGGCAGCGTAAAACCGACGTTAATTAATTAATATTATAAACGTAATACTTAAAAATTATGAAAATAAACTATAACGTTTAATTGTTAATGCCAACCAACCAACTGTAATTGTAGCAGGTGTAGCATGTACCGGAAAAGCCCTAGCTTCATCCAAAGCTCTGGACGACTATCTTGTAGATGCATGCGAAGCTTGCATGCCAAGGAAGAGACCAGCCCTCACCCCGGAAAAACACCCCGTAAAATGGTGGTCCGCAGACATTGCGGGAATACGTCACACGTGCCTGACACTCCGCAGGCAATACCAAGCGTGCTTTAGGAGAGCTGGCCAACCTGGGGTCCAGGAGGCCAGACAAAGCTTTGTCACAGCCAAGAGGAAAATCCGCTCTAAGATCAGAGGTGCTAAAAGGAAATTCTGGTCTGACCTCTGCTCCGAGGTGGAGACCTACCCCTGGGGCAAGCCGTACAAGATTGTAATGAAGAGATTGGGCATCCGCAAACCAGGCTCTGACTCCAAGAGAAAATAGGCTGAGATCGCAGATCCCCATAGCCCCGATAACCAACTGGGAAGAGGCCCCCTCCCCTGTGCAGAACTTATTCGAGGCATTCGACGCCGATACAAATAAACTGGAGTTCACGAGAGTCATCCCCAGCTTTACCAATGATGAACTAGCCAAGGCCACCAGAAGGCTCTTGTCGGGCAAGGCTGCTGGGCCATCAGGGATCCCCAACGAAGTACTCAAGCAATTCGCGTCACGTCGATCCCTAGGAGCTCTTCGGGTCTTCAATGCCTGTCTTAATGCGGTGACATTCCCAGCACTCTGAAAGTGGGCCAGGCTCGTGCTGATCCGAAAAGACCTGGATAAACCACTGGATGCACCATCCAGCTCTAGGCGCATTTGAATTTTGGACACCCCCGGGAAGCTCCTCGAAAGGTTCCTCCTCCAAACGCTATAAGCTCATCTCGGCGCTCACGGGGGGCGGAGGAGGGCTGGGAACCAAATGGATTTCGAATAGGCCTTAGCACTGAGACCGCAGTGGAAAAAGTGCTGAGCATAGCGACTCAAGCGGCTTCCTGTACCGGCCGGAAGGACCTGTGCATCCTAGTAACGTTAAACATTAGAAACGCGTTCAACTCACTACATTTGTCAGTCATTGACGAAGCATTAAGGAGGATAAACACACCCAAATACTTGGTCGAGATGCTGCGTTCATGACTTACAGATAGGGTGTTGCTAACGGGGGAAGAACTTGCACCAAGGCAAATCACGTGCGGCGTCCCGCAGTGATCCGTCCTCGTGCTGTCATTGTGGAACTTGGCGTATGACTCACTCCTGAGATTTGACTTCCCTAGTTGAGTTCATCTCGTCGGCTTTGCGGACGACCTAGCCGTGGTCTGTGTGGCAAGAACGGGCAGTTGCTAGAGGACGCAGTCAATCCAGTCTTTGATGCTATAGACACCTGGATGTCGAGCAGGGGACTGGAGCTAGCGCATCACAAGAGCAAAGCCGTCATGTTGTCCTAACCTAACCTCAACTAAAGCGGCGTGGATGCGACTGGCAATACCGGACGTATGCAGGTGGCTCGGGAGAACCGTGCCAATGGTACCTCTGACATACCACATGACACAGGCATTGACGGGTCACGGCTGCTTCCAGCTCTACCTGCACCGAATGGGCAGGGCTACTAGTCCGTGCTGCTATCAATTCGACGGATAGTCTGATACTTTCAATCACACTCTGTTTGAGTGCCCGCACTGGTCTAGACACAGGAGTCACTTAAAGAGCCTTGCGGATCTACTTTACATCGTCTGCGAACCGCTTTTCGAGGGTCTCCCCGCAAACCCAGAGCACAAGGAATCCATTTTTCGAAATGCCGAGGAGACCTTAAGATCATTCTATAAGATGGTCGAAGATGTTATGACAATGAAGGAAGAGAAGGAAAGGGCGAGACAAGCGGCAGAGGGTAGGTAAAAGAACCCCCGAAGAAGAGGAAGAAGACAAGTCCACGCTGCACAGCAATCCTCGGAGGTGTCACCGACCCACGTTCTTCCTGCACTCCTTGAAACCATGGGTGGGTGGTGATTGTGGCATCGCAGTACCACAGTACGTGACTCCAGGGCGGTGGACTAAGGTTGGCCCACGAAATTATTTATAGGGACCAGCAACGCACTAAGCGAATTCTGTTCTTTCTTTCTTTTTTCTGTTTTTTTTACTTGAATGTAAGCACCCCGAGCTCCGTTTCCAGGTGAACAAATACCTAGCGATAGAGAAAGTCCATTTGGTAGCGGAGAGGGGTGCAACATAGTGTGCCATTGGTATCTTATTTATTTGTATATGTACACAATAAACGATAGGAAGCAATACCAACAGCAGTTCCTCCCTCGGTTCTCGATAACAAGGAAAAAAAGGTTAATTGATAACTTATTTTATTTGTAAAATATGTAATAGACTACATGACTACATTTGTTTAACATTTATGTTACATTCAAATGTATGCTGAATTGCTGAGAATTGCATTCAAACCGGATGATTACAGTCAATCACCATCGAAGAACATCATG